TACATATTGTGTTTCAAATAAAAAAAAAAAAATAAAAAAAAAAAGAATATGTCTTTATTAAATCGCTTTTATTTGCAGCCTAACAATAAGTTTTAGAATCATAAATACTATAAATATTACATTATAATTTATTTTATATTATAAGCCTTTGAATAAGTAACCAGGGCTTATTTACCAGATATCATGGTACATAAGTTAAATTAAACAGGATAATATTTAGAAAAGCAGAATGATAATTGATTTTTATATTATATCTTTATGTTCTTCTTATGTTTAATTACTTCACATTTATACATTAAGAAGAGAATTAAGAGGAAGCAAAGCGTGGTTTTAGTCTGGGAATGATTATTCGCCAACAATAAAAGAGTTACATTTTATTTCTTAACCATCATTTTTTTCCTTCCTTCGATCGAGATAGTATCAGCACACACATTTATACGTTGTTACATTAAAAAAAAAACGTTTTCATTTTTAACATTGAATTTTATATTTATAATATATTGGGTGTTTTCTCCCAAAATACTGTAAATGCTGCTGATGCTATGTCAATCAAAGGAACGAAAAAAATGATGGTTAAAAAAAGAAACGTAACTCTTTTACGAATAATCATTTCCAAACTAAAACCACGCTTTGTTTCATTCTAATTCTCTTCTATATATATATATATACATAACTTCACATCAAAAGTTCTTATAGAGTGTAACAATGCACTCAACCAACTGGCCACCCACAACCAGGTCTCTCTGATTTGGGTACCATGTACATGAAGGACACGAAGGCAACGAAAAGACGGACCTTTATGCCAAAAAAAGGGCAGAAGGATCATTCATTGGTCCAATCCCCTTCTTTGGCTTCAATTAAACGAACATAAAAATGGAGACAAAAAAATGGATCCAAAAAGTATCAATGAATATTGGAATGGAATAAACGACTTATATTATTCCAAAAAATTCTTAAATTTTGATGCCAAAAGAGCAAACATCGCTCTCAACCTAAGCAAAAGGAATCTAAAGTCACTCTCTGGTGCACTAACAGGCCACACCGCATGTAATAAACACCTACATAAAATAGGTATATCAGACACTAATATTTGCAGATTCTGCTGTGATGAGGTAGAGTCTATGGAACATCTGATCACCAACTGTGATGTACTAGGCCATAGAAGAAACAAAATTTTAGATACATACCAACTAGAGGATGAAGAGTTTCGAAAACTCCCTCCGAAGGAGCTGATTTGATTCTTCGAGATACTAAATATCTAAATGCAAAGGGGTGCACAATAGATCAAACTGGTCGCAGTGCATAGGGGCCTTAGCCTAACCCGAAAACCCCCAAATACCATTAACCATTACATAACATATATATTATACTATATTTCACTCTTGATAAATACGAAAAATTGCATGTCCGGTTCGAAATAAATCTGAAACAACCAATATTAAATCAATGCGTTTGGAACACGTTTGCAATTCGTCAAAGCCGACAATATCACAATCGTTTTCACATTGCAATGCATTAAATTTATTTTCACAGAAATTGTTGACTCATGTTTGATAAATACGAACTATGAATATGATATTATAATCATATAATAATTTAAGTGTATACTATATATCACTAATAAAGTAATTTATGTCGTCGGTTCAAAAACTATGAGTGGCATAGAAAGTGGAGTTTTCTCAGCAGTGCTCAATATATACTCTTATTATAGGCTTCCGGATCACTGTGAGGTTTTTCAAGTAGAGGTGATGGCAATTAGGAAGGCTATAGCTTGTCTGGAAGTAGATGACAGGACTGTGTACATGCTATTGGACAGTCAAGCTGTTTTAAAGTTCTTGAGTTCAGTACAATTTACATCTAGGAAAGTTTTTGACTGCTACACATTTCTAAATTAGATGTCGATGCAGTTCAATATTTCTCTAATCTGGGTTCTCGGTCATAGGGATATTTTTGGTAATTGCAAAGCAAAGCAGATATATGCAGGCATCTGTAAGCAATTTGGCCAAGCTCCAACAAAAGAAAATCATCTCTATTTGAGATGCCACGTAGAGATATAAGTCTTGTAGTAGGTTTACTTACAGGTTATTGTATTGTAGGTAACCATGCCATTTTAGGTAAATTGTATTACTTCTTAATATATTTATATATTTATTTAATGTATTCTGAAAAAGATTCAAATGAAAACTTCAAATGACTTTTGATTGGTTTTTGGCAAAACGATGCATCTCCGCGTAATTCGGTTAGTCTTTGAAAAGTATTTGAAAATGTAAAACGTAACGAAACTATATGTTGCCTTGGATTTCGGATTTCCAAAATTCATTTCAAATATGCTAATTTGCAAGCAAATCTGTTAATATTAGATAACTTTTAATTTAGTAAATCGCATTAAAGGCTCAAATATGAATTTACTTTGTATGTGTGGCAATCACCACAAAACGAGCAACTTTGTTTCGCAACTTTAATTAAGAAAATATCATAATTGAAAAAGTTTTAGCAAAAGCATACAATGAACGTCATCGAATTAAACACAAATAAAGGCAAGAACTCAAACAGGGAAAAGTAATAATCATAATTATTGCAATACAAAAAGGAAAATCAAATTTAAACAAAATCTTACAAAAGGAGTGAAGCACTACAGGATAATCACCCAATGGCATTGGAAAAAATTGCTAGCAAAAGTAATTTTCATTTCATGGCTTGCTGAAATTGTGAATATTTTGCATTTCAAATTCTAATTTAAACTAAAAAAAAAAACGCCATTTTAGAAACAAGAATTCCCAGGAAAGTTTATATTTCAAGCTGCCAATTGCTAGCTTGAAAGCTGCCATAGTTATAGTGAAATCCTTGCAACTTTCATGATTTGAACAAATTACACAAAACTTTTCCTTTTATATACTAAGTAATTTTCATGAATTATTAAATATATATATATAACATACTAACTACAGTATACATAGTATAACCGTTGAAAATCCCATTAAAAAAGTATTAATAACCGCGTTTATTTTAGATGCGCTTCAGCAAATTTTCTGAAAGTTCAAAATTTGAACCCAACAGTCAATGTGTAGAACTTACGAAAATAACACCATACAAACAATAAAGTGAGTTCCTAGTGAAACCGATTTTTAAGCTCAAAAGCTCACATACAGTTTGCTAATTTATTATTAGTCGTATATATATATATGTAATACAGAATAAACAACTTATAGCCTTACTAAATTATCCTTAAGAACGTTACAAAATAATTTTATTTAATTGATAAATGCTTAATAATGAATTCAGTCAATATTTAATATACTTCTTCAGCGAGATTGACTATAATGTCACACAGTTCCTATCTGATCATAGCTATTTTCGAAAATATCTGTACAGAATGCAAAAAGCAGAGCAGCCCAACTGTATATACTACCAATCAGTCGAGGACATTGCTGAGCATATTTTCTTCAACTGCGAAAGATGGCATGGAGAAAGAACACTAATTGTAGAATATATAGGTCACGTCACAGTCGAGAATATCGTAGAAAAAATGATAGAACGAGCAGAAAATTGCAACAAAATCACACAATTCATCGGAAATGTGCTAAGGTAAAAGAAGAAAGCTATGGATGCAAACTAATCTAAAACGAAGAGCAATCTGATGACATTCCAATTCGGATCAGGAGTAAGATCCGGAACACACATTCTGAGATTAAAAAAAGTAGTCTCTGACAGAAGGCAGCTGGAGTAAACAACAGTATCACACCAAGATGAAGGGTAAGATTAATCGTCTGCCGCAGTCACACCGATGGAAGTCTTAAATGACTAATAGGGACCGTACCTCGAAGTAATACTAACGTAGTTCCGAGGCAGAACAAGGTCTCTGGAAATGAGGGGGAGTGGTTTAGTCCGTGCGAGTCGGGCATCTACCTTCCGAGGCGCCGGATTGTGGTCAATGCGTAGTGATTCCACTCCTTGCCGCAAAAAAAAAAAATATTTAGTATACTTCACTTATTGTTATTGTAGTCCACTTTAATAGAAGTGTTAAATTATACTTAGTTTCACGAGGATGCTTCTGTAATCATCTTCTAGTAATTATAGACTGCAATTTCCAACTAAATTTCTTTTCTATTAAATAACACGAAAATATGGTGCATCTAGCCGCTTTTCTAACCACTATTGTTCCTGTTATAAAGTGTAGGTATCTTAAAGTAAGTTTCCTACATTTTTATATCATTTTTATACCAAAATATGCATAAACCCGGCTGTTCCTCTAAGCAACTTATAGCTCTGATAAACTGTAGTTATCCTTAGTAAAGTTTTCTATATATTTTCTATACAGTTGGACAACTGTCTCATGAATATTAGACCTCGCTCCTCACCTATAATGAAGTTATGTCCAAATACAAAAATTCAGCTGGTACCAATGGAATTCTTTGGAGTTCCAATGGGGCTTTAATCGGCACAATATACCGATGCGTTTGTGAAAAACATTGTGATGTTAAGCTTTCACGATATGTATTCACGTAAAATTCTCGACCTTTATATTTCATGAATATGTGTGAATCCTGCAGGAATCTTTAAGTAACTATCCTATGCCAGTTTACAGGTGTTGAAAACTGTTATGAACTGAATTTATCTTAAAGCAAGGTAATTATGTCTTTTTTACATACTCTGACAGCTGTCTCATATATATGTGTAAGCCCTGCAGCTAGATGTTAAAAACTATGATTAACTACAGCTAAGTTGTGGTCAGTTTTCTATGTTTTTTCTGTATAGTTTGGCAGATGTCTCAAATAATTGTACACCCTGCAACTGTTTTAAATTTCCTTACAGGTCTTAAAAACTGTAGCTATCGGTTCAAATTTTTTTGTTTATTCTCGAAAAAACAGCTTCGCCATTAATATGTATACTAGTCTTTATTTATTTTTTTAGTTCTCTCAAATTATTATTCAACTATTCTATTTTCATTATTATAGATTTTCTGAGATATTGATTTAATATATTTTTTTATTAACTTTCAGAGTTATACAATCATCGCATCCTGTATGTAATACTATCATGCTATTCGGTGTTATTATTTGCCTTGCATCTGTCATTTTACTAGGCATGGATGGACGTTTTGTGAGTCCAGATGAATATCCTAAGGTATGTTTTTTCTATAATACCTGCAAGTTTTTCATATATAAAATTCATTTTTTGCAGATTTGTCAAGCACGCGCTTGGTTATTATCCACCGGTTTTACACTAGCCTATGGTGCTATGTTCAGCAAAGTCTGGCGTGTGCATCGATTTACAACAAAAGCTAAAACAGATCCAAAAGTAAGATTTATGTAGAAATCTCTTTATTATTAATCTCATATTGGTGTTTTAAATAAATATAAAATAATTATAACTTCAATTCACTTACGAAACCAGAATAAAAAAATTTCGCTGTGTATTTTGAATGTAACCATACTGATAATCATGGGAATATTTATTAATGAGTGTAGTTATATAAAATATTTAAATAAATATTATTGGTACTCAGAAATACTAGTACTTTGTAAAAGTTATATAAATTTCAAACTTTAATATTGTTTCCAAAAACAGATTAAAATCATATGTTTTCTGCTTTTCAGTATTATTCAAGATAATAGTTATAAGCCCAAAAAATTTTTACTTTACCTTTAATTCCTTTTTGAGAAAGAATAACGTCTACACAACTATCCTGAATCTTATTCTGTTTGCTGCTCTTGTGTGTACCATATATATATATATATATTTTATACATAAAATGCAGCCACTAGTTATCCATTAAATGTGTTTGATGTTAAGTTTCTTTTATCTTTTCCAATAATTAGGGTAATGAAGTCAAATCTCAGTCAGATGATTTTCAAGACTGAGGACCGAGGCCCTCTCAACTAATTTCTAAACGGCGATTTTAATGGGTTCAATTATTTTAGTAGTTAGTGTTCATTGAAAGTTCTGTTCCAAGTCTCTAATGGTACTTCTAGTCATAGACTACTTAGGGCTTCCATTTGAGAGCTTGTTGAATGATCAAAATTTTTAATCTGTTTATTCTATAAGCGATCCATTGCTGTTTTCATTATTTAAATTTTGTTACGGCTTCTTGCATGATTACAATATATAGAATTGAAAATGAACCACAGTTTCATTGAAGGTATCAAAGTGGAGGTTATCTGGTATGTGTCCATTTAATTATTAGAAAAATAAAACTTAAACTCTATGCACAGTGTTATTTATGCATTTTGTAATATACAACGTACATTTAGATATCTAATGTAGCATCCATTTTTCACCCAATTAGGAGGATTGTTGATAGTGAATAGTGTGTTAAAGCATCATTCGAAAAGGCTAGTTTTAGTACTAATTAATATATTACACGCGTTCGCAGGTAATTTATAATTTAGTTTAAGTTAGGTTTAATACTTAGTCTGTGTTAGACTCAAAATAGAGAACTCGTGGATCCTTCTATATAATATATATAAGTTCTATTTTATTATAAGTTATCTCTATTATTTTTATTTTCGATTATTTTTATCTGCTTATTTCGAAATGCAAATTATGCCTCGATGATGAGTAAACTACTATACATATTATTTGTGACTGTGCAGCTTGAATAACGCAAAGAAGAAACTTGTTTCATATGGAATTTCTGTCACTAGAACAGATTAGGAGCTCTTCTCTAGATTTAGTACTGGACTTTGTTCACAAAGCTGTTAAAAGTCTTGTTTAATCAATAGTGAAATTGAATCAATAGGACTCTACTGGCCGTAGTACCGGCTGTTGGGCGATTGTATGTTAATAATTTTTATAATAGTAAAAAGTAATAATAAGATATCTCTCAATCTTCCTAATGAGTGAATGAATGATTTAGTTGTTTTTTACATGAAAACGTTTTCTATGAATCGTAGACTCCTCATTCATATGAAATTATTCAGTTCCATATTTTTTGTGTTGGATTAAACAAATAAAAAAATTATTAAATGTTGGTTTACTTCTTGATTACCACACTTTTTTGCTTTTTGTTTATTCTTAGAAATTGCCATTATTTTAATAGTATGTTATGGACTCTAGTACTCTATTTCTAGCACTCTATTTATTCTTAGAAATTGCTATTATTCTAATAATTTATGGACTCTAGTACTCTATTTTTTATTCTATTGTGCAGTTAGTTGAAATGATTTTATATTCTTCATATTATGCTCAATATAATGATGACTTTAAACTTAGTTTGGGAAAAAGACGTTTTAAACACTTTCTTACTGTGTTTGGTTTAACGTTTCAGCAACTTTTAAAAATTATAAATGTTGTTACTTTCAAACAATTTTTTTTGTCCCATGGAAAGGTCCTTAGATTACTAGTTACAAAATATCCTTTCAATTTTTTACGCGTAATTGAGCCTTAATTATATACTTTACATTAATTTACATTTTTTAAACATTTTTCATTTTCGGACTTAATTTGCTTTTTCATAATTTTTATTATTAAATTTTAGTTTGCTGTTTCCTTTCAAAATATATATAAATATATATATATATATATATATATATATATATATATTTTTTTTTTGTGACTCTTATAATTTTTAATTCTGACCTTTTTTGACCGTTGGGGTTTGTTAGGCTAAAAAATGTTTTCTTTTTGTTCAAAAACTTATGCTGTTAATATTATATATACATGTCTGTGATGTTTTTGGTTTTATTGTTCGCTGCCATCTACATGTCCTTATTATCCTTATTCCTTTGAGTGTTGTTAAAAAAAATTGTGCTTAACATTGCTTCATTTTATGCTCGACAACTATTACAGCCCACAAATTTTGCTTTGATCTATGATCCTGCGGTATAAGTTTTTAATTATCTTTAACTTTGTTTTGACGTAATATCTCGTATACAAAATTTAATTGCGATTAGGTTGGGAATAGTTATTTTGCACTGAATTTGAAATTTTTCAACATTTCACAATTGCTGCTTTCGTTTTGTTTCTGTACTTTTACTTCTATGTATTTTCTCTACTGAGTCCCTACCGAATTACTTATTTACCTTTTTTTGTAAGTATTTGCCTTGGAATCGAAGTGGGTGAACATTTGTGTATCTGTGCGTTTTGTGTTGGCAGCAATCAATTAAGAAATCAATCACTAAGCCAATTTGTTATTCTATGAAAGGAAAACTTTTTAAAAGCAAAGTTGACGATGCTCAGTAACGAGTTTGAGTGGCCTTTGTTTCATTTCATTTCCAAGAAATTGACTAACTCGAGTGCTTCCGCAGATATTTGACAAAATTGCTTGCGGAATTAATGAAAAGTCTGATAATATTTTTTTTTTCAAGTAGGTTAGTTAATGAGAATACTAATAGGAAGGAATTTAATAGCTGCAAACTTTTAAAAAAATATGTAAAATAGCCAAAATTGACAGTCTTGCAATTTATAGTTTAAGTTTTGTAAGAAAATTCTAGACAACTAAAAAGAAAATATACCTATATGAAAAAAAACTTAACAGATTGAAATAGTGAGAAAAATTTTCAAAATAATTTGTCACAAGTTTGTTGTTAAATAGTTGATCACTCAATTATCATCACTGACAACATATGAGAATGAAAAATTTTGATGATATTTGATTCCACAGAGACCATCTCACACTAGAATACCAAGCCCTTAGTACAAAATATCTTTGAATAAATATGTTTATTAGTAAATATGTTTATTAATGGAGAGCCTAATATTTATTAAAAATTCAGAGTTTTTTTTTTTAAAGATATATCATTTGTTAGTTTTTAGTAAATTAACCCTTCTTTATTAATTTAAATGTGTATTATGTACATTGGTACCTATATGTTACTTAGGTTAAATAATATAATTAAATGAAATATATATGACATAATTTCAGTCGAACTGTCGGAATCATAATAATGCTTTGCTATAAAAATTAATGAAAATTAATTAACAAAATGTTAAGAATATTTAAAGATAATAATTAGCAGTAGTTCAATTAATATTTTACAATTGTTATAATACCACTTTATATTTTTAAATTATTAAAATACAGTCAAAGTTCCATAACTCGAAGTACTATTTTGCAAAGGAAAGTTTTTTTTATTTTTTTTTTATTTTTGAAAGAAACTAGAATTACATTTTAAGATATTTATTTATTTAAAATCAAATAGAACACAGAAGTTATAGTAAAGTGAAACATTCAGTACCAAAAGATTTCAATACCCATCATCAGTGGTCTTGGAAATAATTCTTGCATTTAATTATTCGTAAATAATTTATTTGAAATTGCAAGTATCAGGAATCGAACTCGTGCTCTGCCAAATTTGAAGCTTAGTGTCAGCACTTCTTGACCAACTGACCCGAAGCCGTACTTGACTTTTAATATATGAAAGTTTTATTAACAAATTCACTACTAGTGTGAATTTATTATTTATTATTAGAAGAAGAAAATGAACCAACTGTAGAATAATTAAATTAATTACTTATATTTTTATTTTTAATGTTTTATTACAACACTATTTTGTACTGTGTTATCAAAACAAGTATACTGTGTATCTGAACTCGATTTCTAATTTAAACGGTGTAGACTGATCAATATAATTGCCACCGGGCATGGAATGAAAGTTATTGTTATCTGGAGAATAATTCCACATACTTTGTGCACTTTGTGATTCTATTATATCCATTTACTTAATTTTTGGCTAATTTAATTACTTGTTAATTTAATTTCTTTTTGTGCACTTGTTGACATAAATCTTTAAATAATTTAATAAATACCGAAACTTTGCAACAACTACATTTGTGGTTTATTTCTGTGCTAAGTCAACCAAATTAACTGTGTGGTCACCAATTAATTGCAGCACAAAACGAATAAATTAAATAAAATGTATCATAAAAAATTAAACAAAAAAACTACTAAATTACATTGTAAAATTACGAGTACATACGGGTGTGGTGCAAAAAACACGGGATAACACAGTAGAAAAAATAGAAAAAATGTTTATAATTTTTCGACATAAAATAAATGTAATTTTTAACCTTAAAATGTGTGTTAATGTTATCAAAGCGTTATTCCATATATAATTAATTGAAATTTAATGCAAATTATATAAAATTTGGATTCTAATTAAGATATTTATATTATATATAACTTTTATTTGTGATGAATGTCCTATGCAAATTGAATTGATGACACTTCTTGTATTACAAAATAAATTAACATAAATTACATTTAAAATTTTTTTAAGTTTGTTTTTTTGCATACACAAATAGTAAAAAATTAATTATATATCTTTACAAAACTTTAAGTGAAAATTTGACAATAATTTTAATTTAAACGTAATGTAATATCAAGTACTCGTCATATAAATTTGAAAGTATTTGAACCACAGAAGATTACTTTTATTAAGTAAATTAATATGAATAAAGTATTAGTGTTGCTGTAAAGCTAGCTTTCTTTATATAGTGACAAAGAAGCTTTATTAAAATTTAGAGGGGTTTTCGAATAGCAAAGAAAGAAATAAAAACCTGGAACTTGAGCATTGAAAGTTTGTGCAGCCTTGGCTTCTTGTGGATAAACACGATTAGTCATCGCTTCTAATTTGACAGGCACGAGTTCTAAGCCTGGCACTTGCAGTCCAAACAAAATTATATACGGACTATAAACTAATTAAATAAAAATTCGATTATTCCAAAGACCACTGATGAAGAGTACTTGGCAATACTCGAAACAGCGTTGTATGGTCAGCCAAACTTCAATAAAAAATTAAAATAAATTTATATGTCAATCCATTACCTTTCAACTATCAACTTAACGTCTGATTATGGGAAATAGGGGTTTAATCTGGTGAATATGTTAAATGTGGAAGTAATTTGTAGCGAAGTTCATGAAATTTCAACTTAATGTCTGCACCTATTTCAATGAACGTCTGCACCCATTTGTTTTATTGATGAAAAAAAGAAATGAATAAGTTTCTCCCTTAAAATGTTGAGAAGATTCAATAAGACTGATATAAAATCTCTGTTTATTTACTTTAGTGCAATGTAATCGAGATGTGTTTTTAGATCTCTAAAAATCCCTTTACAATCGGCGTCTTTATCATGAACATTCTGTTTTAAAGTGCTAATAATAATTTTAATTAAACAGAGTCCATTGTTTTAAATGTCACTTGATTTCAGAGTAATAAATCCATGCAGACATATCCACAAACTTTGTTTTTAACATATCACACCACGGTCATTTAACTTATGTGTATTACGGCAGGGCTATCCCGACCAGATAAGATCGTGGCCCAATATAAATCACTGAATAGGTTGGATGGCCACAGATATAAATAAATAAGTTCATTATTTTTCCGGAGAAAAATAAAAATACTATAATAATGTTAAATTTAGTTTTATTAATTCTTTATTTATTTATCTTTTATAATTCTATCAATATCAGCACTATTAATATTAGTGCTGATCCACTGAATACGAGTTTTTTGAACCAGTTATACAAAGAATTATATGCTAAAGTAAGTCTTTGTCAATTAAGTATATTAACGTAAATTGTAATAAATTATTTAAAAGATTTTAATTCATTCAATATAACAAAGAAAAATTTTTCTAATTATGGTAGATTAGAAACATGTCGAGAATCGTACAAAGATTAGCCGCCAGTCATATGAGGCCCATGGGGCCTGCTTTGGACAGCCGATAATATAAGATGTGTGGCACACATCTTGTCAGTAATTTTTTCATATCTAAATGTTTGCGAAAAATTATACATTCCATACATGGCAAAAAAATATTTCATTAACTTCTCATTTTTCCTAAATTATAACTGTTGTATGTACTGTTTGGTATTTTCAACCTACGAACAACATTTGTGCTCTAATTAGAATAGAGAAAGAGTTCTAATGGCTACAGTGCCTAGACATATTAAAATTAAAGTTCAGCACAATAACTTCCGTAGTATGACACACGATTAAACTTTTGCCGTTCACTACTTTATTCCATAGAATTGGACAACAGTGAGAGTAGTTGTTATTGAAACGATTAACTAGAGATTAATCGAGTGTTGAGTGTAAGAGTTGGGCTTCACAAGATGTTGTCTGTTTGCCATATTAATCACTGCGTCATTTAAAATGTCTATGACATCAACTTTTCGATCAAATAAAACAATATCGTTGACTTAAACCACGATTTGCAATGTCGACATCGAAATATGAATTGGACGTCCCGATAAGGAACGTTCATTTATCCAATTATACACAATCGTAAACACTGGTACAGGTTTGTTATGAACTTCAATAAAGTCAATTTTGATTTCTGTCGACTTTTCAGTCTTTCATATGTAGACCCGTTTTTTTCCGTATTACTACTACTTTTCCATATTAGTCAAACTAGACTGACAAGACACAGTTAACAGTTATTATATGGTAGATACGCTAACAATTAATAGACTTGCCGTCGCAGCAATCGTATGCTACTACTTATTCCCTAAAGTTCTTCTGGGTTTCTGCTTAGAAACCCTAAAAATTTTTAATAATTTTCAAACTTCAAGTACAATATTTTTACGTAATAAAATTTAATATTTTTATACATTTTTATTTAAAAAAATATTAAAATTAATAAAAAATATTATTTTTTTTTTTTGTTACAGAAAAAAGTTGAGCCATGGAAGCTTTACACCATGGTGTCAGGACTACTTTCTGTAGATTTAGTTATATTAATTGTTTGGCAGATTTTTGATCCGCTACAGCGCATATTAGAAACATTCCCACTCGAAGATCCTATATCGACGACAGATGATATTAAAATACGTCCAGAATTAGAGCATTGCGAAAGCGAACGAAACTCCATGTGGCTGGGTAAGTTATTGGACTCATTACATAAGCTTGGAAGTGAATAAAATATATAGTTTAAATGTTTAAAAATTTTACAACCAGTTAAACTATTTAAACATTAGTTTTTTTTTGAAACTTCTATATAATATATTAATTAATTTAAAGTAATTAACTTTTTCTCTAACTATTACTTTCAGGACTAGTATATGGCTTCAAGGGTTTAATACTTGTCTTTGGCTTGTTCTTGGCTTATGAGACGCGTTCCATTAAAGTAAAGCAAATAAACGATTCACGTTATGTGGGCATGAGCATTTATAATGTCGTTGTGCTATGCCTGATAACAACACCAGTGGGCATGGTCATTGCATCCCAACAAGACGCATCATTCGCATTTGTTGCATTGGCTGTGATATTTTGTTGTTTCCTAAGCATGTTGCTAATATTTGTGCCAAAGGTAGGAGTACTTAAAATGACTTTTTGCTTTATAAAAATTAGTAAAAGTTTATTAAAATATTTTTTTTATATTAAATTTTTTTACCAATTTCATTTTATTTTTATTATTTTATATTTTATTTTTGTAATTGTATTGTGTTAATTTGATATAATTGTACAATACCCTACATCCGGAGTTCACGGGATAATAAACCGATGCAGAAATTTGTTTTTAACAAATTATGGTCCGCTTACCAAAATGAACTGATTATGGAGAATTGTGTCCAAGTCCAATAAGAAGAAAGTTTAAAAACTTTCTTGGCCGTTCCACGTAAAGCTTTGTATAATAAATTTTTTCTTTAAATTCTTAAAATTACGATGGTTGGGTTTAAGTTTTTATATATATATTTAGTTTTAACATTATTTGTGGGTGAAGGGTATCAAAGGTCGGTACTAACCGACAACTTTTTTATTTTTATTTTTGCATTAGGTTATTGAGGTTATACGACATCCAAAGGATAAAGCCGAATCGAAATATAATCCGGATTCCGGCATATCAAAAGAAGATGAGGAACGTTATCAGAAACTTGTCACCGAAAACGAGGAATTGCAACGGTTAATATCACAGGTAAGTACAACATTTTTTAAAGTTTATACAAATATAGTTTTTTCTTTTTATTCTCTTAATTTATAAAGAAATATGTGAATATAAACTAAATATTTAATCTCATTGACATAGATTAGGTTAGGCTTAGATGACTGACCGTAAGCTTTACATTGGCATTATATCTCATTTAACAAAATCGAAATTAATATATTTAAAAACATTTTTGTATGTAGTGATAGATACATTTGTATCTTCAATGCATACACAACTGTTGCAATGAAGTCGAAAAGTTGAATACCGATGTGAACTATCACTGCTTCAATATTCTCGTTAAAATCACGTATGCATTACAATTCGATTCATCTCAAACCTTCGCTGACATTTTGACAAAAACTTTTGTGATACAATTAAGATCAGGGTATATAGTAATAGTTAATATATATAAAGTATATAGTTACATGTTATATAGTAAATTATTAGTTATTAATTTGTCAGATCAGGGTATATTGTAATAGATAATATATGTAGTGTATAGTTACATGTTATATAGTAAATTATTAGTTATTAATTTGTTTAATCCAGACGTCTACTTACACCACAGTTCAAAACCTCGTCACAAAATTATCTACTACACGTAGATAATTCTCAATACGAATTATTAGAATCCATATCATAATAAATTGTGTACCGAAAACAGCCGAATTATTACATTAGGAGTACTTTACATAGATCGGTTCACTATGTCAAAAATTTTACAACCAAAACTGTAGTTCAACGTCGCACAGTTAGTATAAGTACATATATGTTCATGAATCAATTATCACAGAAACTGAACTCAGCTAGTAAAAACTATACCACTTGAACATATTACCACCTTCATATATTAGTGGAATATAATTACAGTCTTGAATTAAACTTACATATAAATCATTTTTGACAAATGGCAAAAAGACTTCAGTTGAAAGATTTTGTTCTACTTAACCTATTGATTTACTTCATTCACTTGAATAATAAATAAATAAATATAAAAAAAAACTCTTCTAATGGAAATTTCTGTTGGACCATTTTCTTTTCAAATTTTCATTAATCGTGAAAATGATGAGTGAAAACGTGACTACATTGAGTCATTTGTGTTAATGAACCAAAATTTAAAGAATTAACAAATTGCAGGAGTCCAGCCAAAAGGGATTGTATTGTTCCAAATAATGTTAAAAAACATTTGGTTTGAGAAAAATTGTTCACCTATGAAGGATGCCCGCTTAACAGAGGTGTTAGTTTAACTGATTTTTCTGTTTAGCGGGGGTTTCAGTTCAACAGAGGTGTCCATTTCATAGGAGTGTGAGTTTAACAGATGTGTCCATTTAATGGAGATACCAGTTCATATATATGTCCGTTGATCATAGTTGTCAGTACATCATCAAGTGTATGTTCATAGAACAAAAGTGTTCCTTCAACTGAACTGTCGGTGTAGCAGAAGTGTTCGTTAAACGCAGGTGCTCGTTCAACAGATGTGTCAATTTTTACAGAGATAATCGTTACGAAAATTTTTATTGTATTTGGAACAATTTAATCCTACTTGGCCGAACTTTCCTCTTAAACAGACAATAGTTAGTTGACAATGAGTGTCCGCTCAAGAGTTTTCACAGCAAAAATAATAGTGAATGCAATAAGTTAACTAAACACTATCTAGTCGTTTGAAGTGAAGCTTTTATTAGACATTCATAAAAATATTCAATAAAATTCAATGAAAGCATTAAGTGCAACTAAAGTACATCTCGAAATCACAGCTTCAAAAGAATTATAAACAATAGTAAATAATTCTTTAGTTATTTTTTTTAAAAAAAAAAATAAAATAAAATAAAATAAAATGCACCAAACAAAATTCTGCTGATGCAATGCTAAACCAGAAATTAAAAAATATAATCTTTTTGAAGATTGAAAATGAATGTGGCAGGCATGCAGGCAGGCAGGCAGGCAGGCAAGCAGGCAACTTGCACTCGCATTTGATTCGCATAATTTTCAAGTGCAAGCAGCTTATGCATAATTTTGATGCTCTTATCTCAGATACACTGAGTACGAATGCAAATACCGCAATGAATTCAAAATTGGAGCAATTAAAGCAAGTGACATAGCAATTAACAATTAAGTGCACAAGAGTTGCTGACATTTTTGCTGTGTTGACTGTTCTGTTTCGTGTTGTTAATGTCAGCAGCAACTGCTATAAATACAACAACAATAACAGCAGCATTTGATTTTCAAAAACAACAAAAAAAGATGTAAAGTTAGACGTAAGCAGCTTCCAGAAGAGATGAGATGAGAACTACGAACTGTGCAATCTAAAAACTTAGCAAAAGATGAATAGATGAAACGTTCAACCGAGCAAACCGAGCGCACCGAAACAACAGCAAAAATGCACGGAGCACACAGCACCGATTGGCTGTTTATTTACTTGTGACAAGGAGCCGGACATAAAGTTAAAATGACAGGAACAGAACTGAATTTCAATTGTATTATCGTACAAGATATGAAATACCACCTCCACTCTGTGCTTTCAAATGCAGTTGTATTCGTTAAATCAGAGAGCCGTTGTTCAGGGCTTAAGCAAAAGATAGAATTTAATTTTCATATATAGATATATATTGTAAGAGGCTAAATTTTTATTTTCTTATTTTTTTTTCGTTTTTTTAGTGATTATCAAAACTATTTATAAAGATTTTACATTAGCATTTGCATAAATATTTAAAAAATTTTCTTTTATGATTTACAGAAAGAGGAAAAAATACGCTTACTACGCCAACGACTAGTTGAACGTGATTCATCAGGCAAGCCAACGGAATTGAATGGTACAAGTACGAATACTGGCACTGGTACCGGTATAGGAGCTCCTACTCAGCCAACTAGTGGCACAGCTACTACATCACTTACAGTACAAGCGTCAACGTCCTCACATCTAACACCCGCCGCTACGTTAGCAATTACACAAGGTAATTTTGCTGCCTCCGCTCTCAACATACGCGATACACTCTTACTAAATCAACCAGAAATTTCCACATCTTATTCAGACTACGATAGCAACATTGGCATGGGCGGCCATTTACCTTTGACCCCAACGACGACGACAACGACCATGACATTGACGACGCGCTCATCACGTGCAAGTCAATCGTCCGTATTCGAATTTTCTGATAATTATTTATGAAATTTTTCAATACAAAAGTTGCCAAAAAAAGTTATTTCAAAAATGTTAGTAAACAAAACTGCAGCAGGAAATGCTTAGCATCACCTATTTTTTTTTATACTTATTAACAATTATATTATTGTTGTTGATGTTGTTGTTGGTGTTGATGTTGCTTGTACCTATAGTAATTATATAAACATATAAATATATATAAATACTTTCTCATTCCTTTAAAAACAATAACAAACAAACCTTAATAAAATGTTTTCGAATGAATGCATATCGATTAAAAAGGGACAACCTATATAGTAATAAATATGAGTAAGGTCCTCATATGTATATAATCACTTAACTGATCAATAAACTATTAAACATAGTTTGGATTTTAATATGAAAATTACTCTTTTGTTCAAACCAAACTTATTATTATTATTAACTTGGAGATTTTGAACGCTGATCTAGAGATTTATTGTGACTCTTTCATGGACTACGAGTGAATTTATTCGCCTTAAAAATTTGTATTATCGAACCTACTTTACCGAATGTCATAACTTCATCCGTCTTATAGCGCACCTATCTTTCTTTTATTGTTTATACATCAGTGCCGAGAAATATCTCCAACAAGTATTTTACGTTTTAATTATCTTCTCTACAAAACCTACAACTTCTTATTTAGTGAATTACCAGTTTTGCACGGTGATAAATCAATTAACACGGCCCTATCTATAGCTATTTTATAATTGATTTTTATTAACGATATTGATTATAAATAGCATTAATAAATTTTCCAATATAGGCTTCTCGGTTTTCCTTTCGTTTATAATTGAATTGAATTGGAGATAAAATTTTCTTTCCCTACCGACAAAATAATCCCTACAAGCCTTGTGGCTGTTCCTTTTCTTACAAATTTCTGTACAATTCATTTACTGGAATCTTTAAATCTGTTTTACTCTAAATGTAATAATTTTTATACTTCCTACACAAAATGGTATAAAAAGGTTGAATCAAATTTACGAAGATTCTTATAACGCAATGCTGAAAACGTCGTAGACCTCATTCATTTAGCGCTGATTGTCTGTTTTTCCCACAAACTACCCCCTTAGTTTTTGAGCTATTCATATAAAACTTTGCAAAACTTTTCTAAGTGGACTCTGTTCATTTGCCGAATTGTCTGAACTCAGACCACAATATCCTATAGCTGCCATATAAACTGAACAGGATATGCTTTATTCATATCAGGGAATTTTATTCATATCAATTTAAATTTAGATATAGCTTCCATATAAACTGTCTAATCAGATATAGGTTTTTGTTAGAAAAAATTTTTGCTTATACTTTAAATATGGATCTTGAATTTAATTTGAGAAGCAATGTGTGTAGTAAAAATGGATTGGATCACTTTATATTTAGATATAGGTCGTTAATAAACTCAAGATTTTGGAACATGTTTTTCTACAAAAAAAAAATTTTTTTTCACATGTATATAATATTTTATATATATTGCCATATGTATATATAGATTATCATATATATAGACTATCCTTTGTATACATTATCATATAAATGAGACATTAATGTAGATTGAAAATTCTGTGTGAAAGGTATTAAAGCTTTCGTAAAGCCAAAACTAACATATTGATATAACTTTTTATATACTTAATAGTATAGACTATAGACTTTGTATAGACTTTGGGTACATACATAAATATTTATAAACAATTCTTGTATGAGAATCTTTGAACGATGATTTGCCAAACTTTATTTTTTAAATAAATGGCGTGAGTTGCCAGACTAATTTTCAGCCATTTCCATTATTTAAAAAAATAAAATTACTTATAAAAAGAAAACCCTGCATCTGTTCACGAAAACTTGTAATAAAATGGAATCCATGATGAATGCTTTTATAAACTTTTATATGAATATTTATAATTTTATTAACTTTTATAAATAATTTATTTGTAAATAAATTTTAATTTATTTTTTTTTTTTCTTAATTTATAGAAATTCTTACAATTTTCGTTGGAATTGGTAATGTTGATACCTAAAATTGAACTTAAAATATTTTTTCCTACAAAAAAAATTTGGTACATAATTCTTTAATAAAATTATATGTTGTCAACACTTTAACACCGCTTTGAAAACGTATTATATGTATAAAAAGTGACTTACTTCTTGAAAAGCACCTTGGTTATATGTGAGCACTTAACCACAAAAATATACGTACGTGTACAGTCAATGCAAAAAGTTTTATTTGTACTGAGTGCGATTACAAACTTTCGAGATATTTATTGCAATGCACCTATACCTTCAAATATCCGAAAATGTTCATTGAAAGTACTTATAACTTTTTGCTCTTATTTCAATTTATTGGTTTTATAATATTTAGAGAGGTAAGCTAAAGTCTGCTACAACTCATCAATCATTAAGTCCCCAAACTAATTATCAAACTATAATATAAAATATAGTTTTATTGTAACAATCGCTTGACTTTCTTGTAGAACGCTTTGTTATTTTTTTTTGAATATGATTTAGCTGTTAGAAGCAATAGCGTTTCGTCTAGTCAAGCAAATATTACTAATATGGAACCAATTCGAAACATAAATCATGCAATTTACTCAGCTTAATTAAAGACTTTTGATGAGGTGCATTTTTTGGGTTTTTTTTTTATAGAGAAGCAATTTTTTTTTCATTATATTTATATGCAATAATTTATCAATAAGATACTTTTTTCTCAAAATACGAAGCCATAACCGCAGCGTCCAACATAATAAAAAGATTAGTACGAAAAAGATCCAAATCCGAATACATTTATGCCGTTCTCGATTAGTAAATCTGGTGTAATTTTTTTGATCGAGATTCACTGTTAGTGCAATTTTTATTTTCAATTGGTAAATCTTGAGCGAATGTATAACACTCGAAATAGACTTACAATACTCTAGATATTTTGTCAGAGTAACAAGATTACCCTAAACTTAACACCTGTTTTATGTGAGTTTATGTATTTATAACAAATATAAATGTTAAATAAAAATAAAATATAAATGTGAAGGTTACCCTAAAAATCTACCTTTAGATGTCTTAGCTTATTCTGATAGTAATTTCTCTAACTATTATGCTCTAATCATTAGTGCACTGAAGACTCTATATAGAGTCTCATAGTGAAAAACTTAAATGAATGCATGACACAATATATTTGTGAACTCAGGAGATTTGAGACCAAATATCTATCATACTAGTATCTAGTATCTATATTAAAAATTTTTGTTTAATTTTAATGATACTACCTTTATATAATAACATTTTTATGTTGTTCAGGACATGTTAGGTGCAATTGAAGCATTTATTTCTCCTCTAAAATTATTTGTTTGAAATTTTTATTTTGAATTGATTTCTATTTCCACAGTTTGGACTAGTCTTAAATCCTAGCAGTGCTTTTTAATACTATAAAAATAAATAATTTTTAAAAAATCAATACAACTATTTTTAATCCTTGTAAATACTCACATTTAAAAATATAAATGTTTTTATATATTCATGTTTTGTGTACTCAGTGTGATGTGGTACAAACAAAATTTGTACTAAAAGCGTATCACATCATCTCATTATCACACTACTCAGACTGAATGTATTTGTATATTGTTCAAATCTATCTGTTTTTTTTTTATTACTTTTTAATAAATTATATTAATTATTGTCATTTACTTTACAGATACGCTCGATCATCACACATGAAAAAACGTGTCAATTTCCTTTCGTGATAGGTAAATATTATTTAATTGTTATTAATTAATTAATGAATTTTACAATATTGTTTATTGTTTATGTCTAAGTTCTAATAAAAAAAATTATTTAATTTAATTTAACTAATAGATAAAATTTTATACCTATTTTTAACTTATTGTATAGATATAAATATTTGTTGTAAATGTTATTAAAAAATTGTTTAATTTTAAAAAAGTGAAAATAAAAAAAAATGCAAATAAAAAAAAAATTAAATAAATACAATAATGAAACTCTTAACTAAAAAACTGACTCACTATAAATTTATGTAATTAAAATGAAAATGAAAATGAAAAAACTGAATTAAATGGAAATGAAAAAAAAAATGTTAAATTCTAAATTGTATAATTTTAATTTTATACTCTTTCTTAACAGCTGCAATTTTTTAAGCGATTTTAGACAATGAATTTAGTTAATGTATTTAACTAAAATATATAAATATTAGAACTAAACAGATACAAAGAAAGTTGAAGAAGTAAAAAACACAGAAACTGAGCATTAAAACGAAAATACTTAAAATTGAACAAAAAAAAAATTTAACAAAAAAAAAATTGAACAAAAAAAAAATTGAACAAAATAAAAAAAAAATATTCAAACAATAAAGTTGTACTTCAAATATTTTAAAAATTTAATTAAATTTAAGAAATGCAATTTTAAATGTAAATTTATGTGTAAATGTTATTTAGATATTAGATACAAAATAGTTTTAATTAGTATAAATTATCAAAACTTGTGTGTTTTTGATTTCCATATATGAAATTAAAACTGAAATATTAGCAAATATGTTGAAAATATAAAGTAAGCAGAAAGATTTCAATGAAAGTGGAAATTGTAGTAATATTATATAGGATAATAGATTAATAGGTTATTTAAAAAACAGAAGAACAGAAAAACAGAGAAAGCCGAGTTAGAAGATTTTAAAATTTAAATTAGCACTATTCTTATGTGTTAGATTTTAAGTGTATGTTTAAGTATATAAATAATTAAATTAATGATGAAATGAAGTAGCAGAATAAATAGAAGAAATCAAATTATAATTGAAAGGGTAAAAACTAGTTAGCGAAACTTACAGTGGAGCCAAAACTTCCTACAAAATATATATATATATATATATATATATATATAGTAAGACCCCGCTTAACGCGTAGGATACGTTCCTTCAAAATAAAGTGTAATGCGAAACAGCGCTAAACGGGGAAGGCTGAGTCTAAGTCAGTCAGATCATTCAGTCAATTCTGTGTTTCTGATTTTCTGCCTTTTTGTCAAGAAGGCCTCTGATGTAGTTTCCGTTTTCCTTTTGTGTCCTGTTAGCAGTTGTTGATAAGTGGATAAAGCATGTATATTACCCCTTCTTGCTTTTGAACTCCTGTCAAAATTCAGTTGTAATGGTCAAACTCTTTTTTTCAAACAACATCGAAAGTTCTTTTTGCTTTTCTTCTTGTTCAGTTAATTTTTTTGAGCACATTATTAGAAAGACTAGTTTCTGTTTCTTGAACTATTTTTTCGACGTCTTTTACATTTACCTAATCTAAAGCGGTTTGTTTCGCTAAATCCTGTATTTCTTCTACTATTTCATCCATATCGACAGAGTGTCCAATGTATTCGTTTTTACTTAAATCTGGCCAAATGCTCTTCCATACTCCTTTCAACGATCTTTCTGTTATATCATTACAAGGAAGGTTTATATTGTCTACAGTATTCATGATGTTGCAGTTTTTCCAAAATTTTCTAATTGATTGCTTCTCTTCGCGGTCTGTTTTTTCAAACGTCTGCTTAAATGTTCGGATTCAAAGTAAAGAGCGCTAAACTGAAACAGCGTTAACCGGGGTCTTACTGTACTTTAGTATATAGAATAGACTATAATTGTAGAACGGAGTTTGTATGAGCATTTATTTTAAAAAATATATACTTGCATATGTAATAATTTAAAGTCATTCTTAAGATTTCTTAGTAGCTAATATGTATTTAACAAATTTGAATTGTCTTGATAATTCACATAGTGTTCTCTTCTATTTCTCAAGAACTCTCATTGATGCTATAGAATTTAAGAAACACCTTCTACAATATTGTTTGAACTGAAAATTTAATTTTATTTTCAATAAGTTATTTACTAAATCACTTTAGCTATTATTTTTCATATTTACAATATGTTCCAATTATGCAATAAAAGTTGATAAAAATTAATTAAACTAATATAAAAGAAATTTTTTTTTTGTTGAGCAATATATGTTTATGAATCGCTTTTATATAAAGCCTAACAATAAGTTTTAGAATCTTAAAAATTAATGGCATTACATTACAAATTATTTTATATATATATACTACAATGAATTATTAAATGAATTGTAAATTTTTTTAAAGGAGGACCTCTGTACAAGTAGCCTGAGCTTATTTACCAGATATCACAACGTATAAGTTAAATTGACCCATTTCTGACTACCGTGCTAGGTTTACATATTTTTTAAAAATATATATAAAAGGTAATTAGTACAATATTTGTTTATATTTATTACTTAGTTTGATAAATTAATAATATAAAAATACATATTTCGAGCAGTTTTCTTCTGTCCATGAGTTTATCTTGTCAGACATAAAAAGTGTACAAAAAAAACATTTTTTAATCAAATAAAAATTAAAATAAATCGAAATAATAACTAATTTATTTGTTAAAATGTGTGTTCGCAAAAGCCCAAGTATAATTTTTGTAATTTGGTCGGCAAGTAATAATTACTTGCCACCATAGGGTGGCATCCCATAGTGACGAACGTTCACAGGCCTAAAATTTCTGTAAACTTAGTACTGATCTGTTAATCTTTACTGAATCAGTTAATCACAATTAATCTCAATTTGCAGTTTATCGATTTGGTATCAAGTTTCTGGATTAATGCCTTCTAGACACGAATCGTTTCTGTTATACAATACAAATAATAGTATTAATATTTTATTCAAATTTTTTATGTTCTATACCAGGTAATCTACTGATAAATATTTTATAAAACGCAATTTTTTTTAAAAGAGAACTATCAATCATTTGGTATTTTTCTTTTTGGTGTCAGGTAACTGGGTTGGTATCTTTTACCGCAAACCGCACTCACATAGCTATGTCATCTTCCCTTCGTTCAAGAGAGACGTCTGGGTAAAAAGAGTTAAATTTCTCAAAATAGTAAAAAAATCGGTCTAGAAATTTTAGAATATCGGTCTACAGAATAGGAGTTAAACGGACGTTTAACAGAGGTCTTCATTAATAGACTTTTTACTGTATTCTGATTTTACTGTGTTTCAATCAAATCAATAATTATATAAAGTTTTTTATTTTCATCCAATGTTTAACAAATTTCTCTTATGTAAAATTAGTGTGAGTTGCCATCTAAAATATAATTTTCTAATAAAAAATAAGTATAAAAAACTTTTTTATACGTTTTTAAGTTCTAATGCTAAGTGTTAGAAAAACAAATGTTCTACAAATGTTAAGAAAGTTTGCTCCACTGTAATGTAAATAGTTTAAAAATTCATATAACTTAAATGAAATTAAATCTACTAAATCTGTTAAAAAATTATGGAAACACATGTTGTTATTTTCACACTGTAAGTTCTAAAATTGCATTTACTGAAAAATAATTATATATATTTACATTAAAACTTATAATAAATTTATATAATCCCAATACTAAGATAAGCAAAGTATTAAGTAAATAAATTTAAATTTATAGACACTTTAAAATTAAATGAAATCATTACAAATCGCTCGGCACCTCAAACTTTTGTTATTTTTATAATGTATAGAATTAAAACTAAAATCATTTTTTAATAATAATTTATTCATTTTTTCATAAATACATGCCATTTAAAAAAGAATTTTAGATAGTATTTCACTTTTTTTCAAGGACCCCAGTTTCATTATCGCTCATAGAACAACTTATAGATCAACTCATAGAACAGTTATCATATTCAATCATATTGTCTTATGGTACCTACCTTGATTTGTTAGGTCATCACGATCATCAAGATTAAGTTCCATAATCTTTTAATTATATATCGTATGATAATGAAATTAATGCAGTTACTTTTTTTTTGTTGATTTCTTTTCTATTTAAAATTTTATTTAAAGGTTTAATCAGGCACGTGACACTGATCGTCCATAATTAGTCTCTATTAATATTCTACTTTGCTGATGATGAGATCTAAGAGCTTAAATTTCTTCAATGGATAATTTGATTATGTTGTGGTTGGATAGTGTCGATAGTAGAAATAATTGACATCAACATTCTTTTTCTTTATTTAATCAGTTTACATCGTCTGAAATTTCCTAATAACCTTAAGTATTAAGGTGAACATGTTTTCTCGAGTGTTTTACGATACTCGAGCAAATTAAAAAAGCTCGAACTCGAGTACCCAAAATATATTATTATTACTGTGCTATTATGGGATCTTTCGCATTTTAAAAGGTCACATTTCGCGTCCATTTTTCTTTAGATAAGCAATTGTTGCAGTTTGTGTTTAATATTTTGCATATTATATTATATATTATAACTGATTTTTGGTGAAACTTTATTATTTGTGATCTGATCTGTTGTTTGTCCATTTTTAAAACCATTCGGAAGCTCCAAAATACAAACGATTCCAGTTTATTGTTATCAGCAATACTTTTAAGTAGCTTCTTTTAGTCATAAGACGCATTACTTTCGAAAAAAAAATAACATTATAAATATGTTTTATTGAGATAACTTCGCACTATTGTTGCGTCATACGATCGGTAATCGTGAATATCGCTATTATCTTTTTAAATCCATGCTTTGGTTTCTTTAACACCATTAACTCTTTAACATGTTGTCATTGTATAAGTTTTGACTTATTCAAAACATAAGATATCTATCTTTGACTAGTACTAGTACTATTCTGATATCGTGAGTAATCTCAAGAGCATTGCTTCTACAAATAATTCATCTTGACCTTACTCAAAGATTTTGGAATAATCTGAGCGTTTTTTTATAACTATTAAATTTTACCTCATTAAGTTGTATATAAACTGATAATGTATGTTAAAAATGTTCTCATGGTAATACCCGATTCATAGACTATAGTATCTTATAGGTGCCACATTACAGTACAATTTACAATTACTTGACGCACATTTATTTACAACGTTCTTAATAAATTTTAAGATACTTTTTCATATGAAACACAATTTCGATAAACTTAAAGAGGAGAGGAACGAAGAAGAAATTATTACACTTTCAAGAAATAGTCATTAATTAATTAAGAATTCATTAAAATTTCAGTTTGTACAAAATTTGAATCAGGTATTTACACTTATATATGTACATAGTAAACTAAATATTATTACTTTCATGTAAACGATATTTAATAAATGGCAATTAAATTTAAATTTTAAATTATATCTAATATAAATGTTTTAAAAGAAAATACATTGAAAAAAATTCCTATGAAATTAAAGACTTTAGTGTTAATAAGCCGATGATATGTAAGTGAAAAAATATCTATTTAAGTTATGTGAGCATTATTATTAAATAAGAATATAAATTATAAATTATAAATTTTACAAAGAATAGTTTAAAAAATTTAGTTGTAATTTAAATAAATTATTAATCTATGAATTATTAATGTTATAGTTCTAAGTATAACTTATTGATGAAAATTTATGAATTTGTTTGTAAATAAAATTATATATATAAAAGTATATATTAGCATAAAATTATGGTTAAAATGTAATTTATTGTTTAGCTATAGCATAAACCATAAATATTAAATGAATTATTCATTGCAAAAAAAAAAAATTAAATGAAGTACATTAGTTAAAATTTCAATAGTTAAATGTTATTCATAAAATCTAAATTAAATAAAATTAAAAACGAATTATCGAACACGTTAAACAATTGCATATTATGCATTGCAAATGATATAAGAAACTTATTGATAAAATGAAAGTATGTAAGCATTCTGAATATTATTTATAGTTTTTCCTATACAATATTAATTTTATTATTATTTTTTATTTTTAAAAATTGCTTAAAAAACTTAATTAATTTTATATAATTTGTGGCTGCTTATGAATCTATTTAATTCCTCTTTAATATGGCTTCTAAGCAAAATTTCAGGTCCATTAAAGTTAAGTTTTTCATGTTGCATTCTGATTTTTTTTTCTTCAAATCTTATTAATATAAACAATATGAAGTCAATATTATTTTAATGACTCTTCTCATCTAATTGTTCATAGCCTTTTTAAATTGGTTAGTATAGATATGACGATAACTGTAGGGATTTCACTACAATCTACAAGCATCATTTCATATAAATTAAAATTCTTATGTTTTATATTTTCCTTAATTAAATTGTAAAACCAACATTTGATTGAGTAAATTCGAACATAGAAATTTTTTGGTCAATGTTTATAGCACTTTTTTTTAAGATTAATTAAATCAAAAAACTAAAAGCTAACCTATATAATGGAAAAAACCCATATATTTGCCAAAGAGAAAACCGGAAGCAAACGAAAAAAATACAAAATTAAATGCAATTAAACAATATTTTATTAAACACATACATTTCCCTTCAATAGTTGATACTTTAATAAATTAAATTAAAAAGTTGACGAACAATTTTGATTAAATTCTAGTTTTTTAATAAATAGATTCGTTAATTCATGTATTTTAGAAAAATTGTTCACTTTATTCATTGGAAATTGAAAAGCAAAGAACAATATTTTCACCAGAACAAAAATCTAAAATCTAAACCGAATAAATACATTTTTTTATATACTAAACTTGAACGAAAAAAATGTCCTATTCTAAGCCTATTTAAAAAATCCGATATCTATCATTACCACTCCTTTCAATCGGTTTGTATGTAACTATGTTTTTTTGACATACAAATATGTCGTCCGATTTTTGGTTCCATAAAATCCATGTAAAGCAAAAGGTTCTGAAGCTCCTGCCACTCCTTTCAATCGGATTGTATATAACTAACATTTTTTCAAATATAAATATGTTGCCCGCTGTTTTATTCCATAACATCTACGTAAAGCAAAAGGTCCTGAAGCTCCTATCACTCCTTTCAATCGGAGTGTATATCTAATATTTTTTCAAATATAAATATATTGCCCGCTGTTTTATTCCATAAAATCCAAAAAGCATAAAAGCATAAGGTCCTGAAGCTCCTACCACTCCTTTCAATCGGAGTGTATATCTAATATTTTTTCAAATATAAATATGTTGCCCGCTGTTTTATTCCATAAAATCTACGTAAAGCATAAGGTCCTGAAGCTCCTATCACTCCTTTCAATCGGATTGTATATAACTAATATTTTTTCAAATATAAATATGTTGCCCTCTGTTTTATTCCATAAAATCCAAAAAGCATAAGGTCCTGAAGCTCCTACCACTTCTTTTAATCGAATTGTATGTAATTAATGCTATTGGACATACAAATATGTTGTCTGCATGTTTGATGAAATGAGTTTCAATGAATTTCATAATTTTTATATCTCAACCGGTTCAGAAAATATCAAATTTCGATCCCAAAGGATTTGATCTAAAGCGTTTGTCTGGCGATATAAGAACTTAGATTTCGCATTGCATGCCTAATGTTGTTTCATTTCTCCATTTCTTAAGTTTAATGTTATCGTTTTATATATAGTGAGTGTAAAGCAAAAGTTTTAAGAAGAACCTCAACTTTTTAGCCTCTCCATAAGTGATTGATTTAGATACGATGTTTTGTTAGAATAAAATAGCTTATGCCTTTATGCCTTTAAATGTTGACCAAAAAATGCTATTTTTATTATTAATAAAAATGGTTAAATTTATTAAATTTAAACATTTGAACATATTTCTTTACAACATTTAAGAATGGAAATTTATTTAATTGATATTCAGTTCTTCTTGTCATCAATTGTTACTTTTTTTTCTGCAAAGTGAGAGACAATGATTATATGTATTGTCAAACAATTTCATTATAAAATGCTATATTGTTTTATAAATACTAAATTGTTTTATAGCTTAAATGTAAAATGTTATTGTGTATCCTATAATATTCAATATAAAATCAGATTTGTGGTAATTTTGAGTAAATATTTCAAAACCGTCATACACATGTCAAGATATAGGTACATGTACTAATTTTTTATCTATTCTATTCATTATAGACCATAAGCAGTTTTTTTTTTTTGTTTTTTTTTTTGTTGTTAAAAGCATCTAACATACAAGTCTTGTGTAAGAATAGTAAAATATATTTGGCCATGCCAAACTATTTATTTTAAAATTTATTATTAAATAATATAAAAAATTAACGAATTACTCTTTTTTAAGTTAATATTTACATTTATATTTATATATTTATTTGTAATATTTTATTTTTTTAAAGCAAAAAATTAGAATATATATTATAGTTCATATAGACCTTAGCTAAAATTAAAAAATAAAAAATTGATGTTATTATTTTTAGCATAAGAGTATCATTGTTTTCTATTTAAATTATATAATAGTACGTATATAAGAAGGAATATATAATCAGATATATAAAGTTAAGGTAAAAGAAATTGTTAGCAAAGCTAATTGATGTAATTTAAGTAAAAGAAAAAATTAATAAATAAGAATTTTAAAAAAATTAGAAAAATTGTGTGTAAAAATATTTAAATTTGCAATTTTCCAAAAGGTAACAGCGCCATAAACCGCAGAAACGAATTGAATTAATTATTGAAAATCCAAAATAAAGCAAAAACGGTTCACAAAATTTCATCAAAAATTAATTTCGAAATTCATATACATTATTCAATAAAAAGCAAAATAAATATTTAAAAGAGTTGTTTTTTTTTCTAAATGTGTAGGTTATTTAACTTATATATAATTAATTAATCCAAAAAAAAGCGATTTCTGAGTGTCGTAAATACCAATGACAAATTTTTGCAAATACCAATAATCCGAAGTTATATACAGATATAGCTTGACATTTGAAATATCGAAACTTAAACCTTTTACTTTTTGTAATTTTGAAACCCGATTTTTTGAGAATTAGGCTGTACCGACTACACATGGTCTAATAATAGAAGTTGCTCAAAGTCTGGCCTATAAAGTCTATAGTCAAATTACAGCGCAGGGATTTAAGAATCATTCCTAATTAATTTTTTTTCATTAAAATTTTATTTAGAATGTCTTTATAAAAATATTAAATTTTTTGTAATATATTTTATTGTTTTTTGGACTTGTGAACTTTTTTAAAAAAACAATAAAATTTATAATAAAAATAAATATATGGTACTTTAAATGAAAAAAAAAATATTGCAATTTAATCTTTGCTTCAGCAACAGACCCGACGAACAATTCTTGCAGTCTTTTCATAGCTCAGTTATGCTTAACTTACTTTAAACCCGGTACATATATTTTTGTAAAAAATAATAACTTAAACGACGTATGACCAATGGTAGGGAAGGTTATCACACAATGGCGGATAATAAACGTTGTCATAGATAATCTTCTTTAAACGTACATTACTTCGTGTTATATTTAAAAGGCCATACTTTGTAATGCTGCCCGATCCTGCTCAAAGCGACATTCTTAAAGTCGCATTTTTATTATATATAACTACATATATTACTTACATATTAATATTAATTATGTAGACTTTATATATATATATCAGATTAAACCACATAATTTACGTGCAGTGAATTAACAATCAATGTCACATTTTGCTCCTTTATATCGCAGCCTATATCATATATTAGAATATTAGATAAGGCATATATTTACAACTCATTTCAACTCACTGTTTATTATTTATTGCTTATTATTTAAATATTTAAACTGAAATACATTATCGAACTAAGAAAGAAATTTTAATTGTATTTTGATTCAAACTAAGATTCATCTGATGGCATGGCATATTTTTTAACCCAAGCGCGTGCAACTTCATCATGAGCCTCTCTATGTTCTATGTAATTTAGAGCTATATCAGAAACAATTGGGTCCATTGGATTACAGTTCGATAGTAAAGCTGTAATAGAAACCAAAATTGTTGATAAAGAAAACGCTGGTGTCCATTTGGGTCCTAAGATGTCCACGCAAATATAACCTTCCGAATTGATGTTACAGTGATAAATTTTCGTTACAAAACGAATTTTCGGTGGCTTAAAGGGATATTTAGGGCCAAACAAGATATCCAACTCGAAAGTGCCACCTTCATATACTGTGCCTGGTGGTCCTTGTAGTGTTGCTGACCAATGGGATATGTCATCATTTTTAAGGTTCACACTGCAATTTGGTGGCGGTTGTTTAATTATTTCCGCCAATTCTTTTTGTAAGCGATGTTTGGCAATAGGTGGAACTTCATTCGATGTTCGAGCTGCTGCTGAGGTACCCGCAGCATTATTTTGATTAGTTGACATTTTTTGGAAAGTATTTCAAATGCGACTATTATAAAAACATGGTTAAATAGTTTTATATAAAAAAAAAATTGTGAGCAGGAATTGTACTGAAGATTCTACTTAAAATATTTTTATAGTCGTAGACAACTTACATCTATTTATTAAAAAAAAATTAAATTTTTTTTTTAATTTATTCTAATGTCACTCGTAAAAGAACACGAATTTTACTTTTAAATTATATAGAAGAAAAATAATTTTATCAAATAATAATTAAGAGGAATGGACACTGATTGTTAAACATATCTCAGAAAACCTATTAAGAAATCTATTTGAAATTTTTAATATTTCGAAGCCTGTAAATATTACCAAATTGTAATATGTTATATGGCATTTACACTGGCCGCAAATGACTCATTTAAAATCAGTCATTTAAAAGTGTTTACATTCGTTATTATTCATTTGTTCTCATTTCAAACAGCTGATTCTTCAACGTGCCTGTTAATTTCATTTTTGGCCTGTGCCAAATAAAATGTTTGATGAAAGTAAAATTCTAAAACTTATTTTTAGCTTTGATTAAGTACTTTTTGGGAAGTAAAAGTTCCAAGAAGAGGTGCATCGTTTCTTAAATATGTCAAAAACAGCTTTTTCAAACTGTCAAAACGCCATGAAAAACTTTTTTTTTTATGATATGTTTAATTTATTCATTTGCATTTGAAACTCGTTTGAAACTCGTTGGAACTCATTTAAACAAAATGAGATCCATTGCGCGAATGTGGATCTCATTTAAGCACATGAATTTTGTTTATAGAAAACAATCATCTCATCTGTGATTAGAGATCAGTCACTTGAGGTCAGTGTAAACGGCATATTAATGCTGTCTTTGTCTTAACTAGAAATAGATATTATTATACAAACAAATTACGTATAAGATAAACTAATTAGATCTAATATAAACCAATAAGGTCTTACACAAACCAATTAGGTCTGATAAAAGCCATTTTGACCTGTTAAAATACTTAATTGAATAAGTTCAAGGCTTGCATTATTTGTTGACTAAATCAGTTGATTAAATCGACCAATGACTAAAATCGAACAATTGACTAAATCAACCATAGATTTATTCAGTAAATGCTGACTTTATCAACAAAGAACAGTTTATCTGGTTCAGATTCTGAATAAATGGAAAATAAATGTGCAAATAAAAGTGGAACGTATTTAAAAAAAATATCATTAGCCGTAATTTTTTCTTTCAGATTAGCAAAAAAGTATTCGTAACTTACGAAAGAAAAAATGTGAAGCAACAACAATGCTCTTATAATCTTCAGAGTTAAATTTTACTTGCAAAAAAGTTTTACATCTTAAGTTTCAGTGCAGTCAAATTCAAAAATCATTCCACTAAAAATATGTTGCAAAATTTAAATCATCCATTAAAATCATATGAGCAATTGATTTACTAAGTTGAAATGCATAAATAAATTAATTAATTTAAATATATGTACAAGATAAAGAACCTTACCACTGTATTTATAATATTTATTTTGTTTTCATTTATTTAAATTAATTAATTTTCAGTATTTGCAATATTTATATATCATATTGTTCACAACACAACATATGTCAAAAAAGCATTAAACATATTTTAACAGTGATGCCAATTGGTGACAACCAGACTTAATGCTGTTTTTGTGCAACTCTGAAACAAAAAAATACCGCAATTGTCAATGCAATATTTTCATAAGAAGTAATGAATTCACGAGTATAGTATGTTCCCATTGTCTTCGTAAAAGCAGTTTATTTGATTTATAGTACATTTACACTGCCTTATTTAGGCAATTACTAGTTTATATTAATGAATAAACATTCATATTATAATCAGCTCATTTATGCAGCTGATACAACTTTTATAAACTTTTACAAACTTCACTTAATAAGTTAATTAATAAAAAAAAGATTTTATTAAATACTTACTCTCTCAGTTCCTTTGTTTACAGCTTAGCTGTTGTTTGTTTACATTTTATATATAAAACATACGATACATATTTCAAATTTTGCTAATTTCGCTTATGAGAAATTTGTTTTTAAGAGTTGCATTCTACAGTTTTCGTCTTAAATGAGCTGATTTATTAATAATGAGCTCATTTATATGAAAGCTCTGCATTCTACAGTTTTCGTCTTAAATGAGCTGATTTATTAATAATGAGCTCATTTATATGAAAGCTCTTTGTATGGTAAATCATCCTCATCAGTGGCAATAAAAAGCAAAACCGCCTTATGAGACAGCGTGCATGTGTTATTAAGTTGCTAATGAAATTTCATTAACCGTATAAAGAGCTTTCGTGTTTTTTAACATAGTTAAGAATAAATAAAGAGAAAGTAGACCAAAAATCTGAATGCAATGTGAGAAAATATATTTCGCATAAGGGAAATGTTCGTTATTTGACATATTTGTCACATGAAACAAAATGTAAATAAACAAAACACAAACAAAATAAGAGATGTTCCCACTCCAGCTTAAACAGTTTATATTAATCCAATTACGATTTGGTCGTTTACATTACCAGAGGTTGATTTAAGCTTGTGAATGAGTTTTCATGTGTCAGAAAATTCTAGGATAATTTGTATTTGTTTACATTTCAATTATTAGCAAATAATATGTAGTTTTTTTTTGTTAACAAAAATAATGTAATATTTATAGTACATAATATTTATTTATGAAACATTAAACTACTTAAAAAAATCTTTATTTGATTAACATAAATTGATTTAGCTGTAATGAGAACATGGTATTAGATTATTAAAGAAACTTTAAATGAAAACATGGAAACGCAAATAAGAAGATAAAATATCATTTTGTAAACAGCTGATCCATTGAACTGCATCTTAACTAAGAATCATTATACCGAGAAATAAGCCAGCCAACATGTCGGAGAAGAACCTATTAAAGACTAAAAAAACAGTTTAACACTCTTAGAACAAGTAATAAAAACTAAACAAATAATCTAATGCACTAACTTCTCTTTAGAAGTAAGAGAGTAAGTTACATTATGAACATTTTCATCTAATAATATTAGAAGTAACAAATATATTTACTTTTTAGTATTTTATTTTTGTTTAATTTTGTTTGCACCATAACGAATAAGTTTACTGATGGTGAGGCTCTAAATGTAACCAAAAGCCTTATTTTTGATTAATAGTATGATGGAATGATCAAATCTCAAAAAAGTGGCATCTGTATTTTCAAAAATCCAACTCAAAAGAAAATCGTGTGCTTTCACACGATTTTCAAACCATTCAAACGAATATTTGGACTTGTGGTCATATAATTACAGGCACTTGATTAACAACAACAAAATATTTGTTTTTAATATCTTTACATTTTTTGACTGACCATACAGCAGTTTCAAGTTTTGCTAAAAACTAATTATCATTAGAAATAACTCATTGGTTTATTAGTCCGTAAAGAAATCTATGGGCTATAAGTGCCAACTTTGGAAGAATGAACCCATCGAAGTTTTAAACTCTTGACACCCTTATTTTCTGACCGAGATTACTTAGTTACGTTATTCAGAAGTTAATTGAAGGCAGCAACATTGAAGCACTTATCGTACTTTTATTAGAACAAAATTTGATTTGATTTCCCACAGCTTTAAAATATCAGGATAAATATATTATTCAAAACCTTTATAACTTCCTAATATATTTTAAGAAAAAAACATAGTTTGAATCTTAAGTACACAGATAAAGTTCGTATAAATTTTAATTTTGAATGTTGTTTAATTCTACCTATAACTATGGCATATTCTATAGTCTATTCTATATAGCCTATTCAGCTATATGGTTAACTACTCAACTATAGTTGAGTTAGAGCTTGTGGAAGTTTAATCTTTTGACGGCTGAGATAGAACTTTTGATGTTAGTATTTACAGTCTGACTATTAACATTCCTACTTAATGCGCTGTTTGGCTTACTCATATCTTTAAAATCCAAAAAAAAAAACATGAAAGCCTTCAATTATTAATAGAAATAAAAAATATATTTTTTATTTTATATTATTTTTATATTTAGTTTTCTTCACAATTTATATGGGTTTGTCCACAATGTTTACATATATGTTTCAGACCAGAAATTTATATGATATGTGATATATATAATAAGTAATACACACAATACAATGCAATAATACAATAATTATTTTGCGAAACACCATTGGATATATTTACGGGAAGTTGTTATAGACGTCCTTTATGCCTTTCTTATTGATATTCTGACGTAGTGTTTACTGCTCCGTCCCTTGTGTTCAATAATTACTGGAGGTAACTAATTTTCGTTAAATGAAATTTCATGCTGTATTTATTGATAAGTATGACTACTTCAGGTATAAACATATTTAGTGTTATGCTTCGATGTTGCATTTGACCAAAATGCGGCATTGTTATTATCTTTAATAAAATTGCTTGTATATTGCTTGGCTTTTGACAGAACAATTCTTGATAATATTCAACTGCAAATGGTAACCTTACACAAACATTTATTTGAATTAATTTCATTTTTCACTATTGAGAATACTACTTCAGCAACCTAAAAGAAATGCAATTAAAAATATAGAAGTATCATATACATAGGTTTGGGGCTTATATATTAACCTTTTTCTATAAAATACGCAACTGTCTCCACGGATTCGTCGATAGCTTCAATATAACCAACTACCAAATGCTGGTAGCTACTTTAGCAGGTATTATTCCGGAAAAACTTCATCTCGTCTTAAATTTTTCAAATATATATCAAGTGCGATTCCACATTAGCTATTTTATTGACTAGTGATTTCTGTCTACTCACTATTGCTACTACTCACTCACTATTCTACTACTCACCACTATCAAATGTCAACATTTTTATTGTGGTTCTAGCATTTTCTTCAACTACAGAATAAAATTATTTTAAAAATTGACCAAATTAGCATTTTATTGCTATTATTAGTTTACCTACATTCCATTGATTTAATTTGTTTGATTGTTAGAAGCTGTCAAAAGTTTGATAAAAACAACATAAATTAAAGAAATAAACGAATAGTTGTTTCAGTGAATAAAATACTTGAAAATTATTGTTGAAATTTTAATATACTTGACCATCTGATACATTAACAAAATGTTTATTATATTTTACTTTGAGCTATCACTGAACATACTTTTTCGAAAGTATTTTGTTTCAAGATACAACAAAAGATTAAACTATTTT